AGCTGGCACAACCACGTACTTTCTCAGCTAAGTCAACCATTGGTGTTTCTACTCCCTTTCTCTGCCTTCCTACCCCAGCTAATGCAGGACAAGCACGACACCTTCTCCTGTCGAATGGCTGTGTACCTTTTCCACCTTCTCTGTCATTACAGCCGAAGCCTATCCGGAGTCTTATCCTATCAAGGATCCATGGCGGGGCTTCGGTTGCCTGACCCGTCCCCGTAAGAAAAATATACATGGATCATCATCCGGGTCCATCCCACAATGAGTCAGCCGTTCGCCAGATCCCTCTAGAATCCTAGCTAGCTCATTCGAATCTCGAGGAAGCCGGGATGGAAAAAGGGCGCGGCGCTTAAGCTCGGGCGACAAGGCTCCGGCCCGATTCCTCGAGGCGGTTCCGAGTTGCGGGATACCGCAGCTCAGATGATCGCTCGGTTCGTCCTTTCTGGCATATAGGTACGTGAAAGAGGATCCAGCGAGAAATCTTTCGAGATAGATATACGAGATTGAAAAAATGTCTTGCGAGCTACTCCCCATCTTCCTCGCACTTAGCCTTGACCAGGGTCGACATGACCCGAGTCTCAAGCTTGAAAATAAATTTTTGCGCTCCTAAAACTCGTCGCGTTCGACGGGCTGATCCGAAGCTGCATCGTCGTGAGTGCTCCCAAGGGGTGGGGACATTGACCCATAATTTGCCAGCAGGGCAATCAACTCATCGGAAGGCTGAATCGCTCGGCTTTCGCTTACCACGTGAACCCCCGACGATTGATCGGGGCTGTGATTTCTCGCCGCTCTAAGCGTGCCGCCGCAAGTTCCTTACGCGATATAAGGAATCGAAGTATACCTACACGGTGACGTTTCGCGATGACGCTTCTGCGATGTAGCACACAGCAGGTCTTCATACTCACTCAGGAAGCTGGTCCACCCGAACATCGAATTATCGGTCAGACCCCTAACGGACGATCTGGACATTGAATCGCTCATCGAGTGTTCTTTTTTTCCTGATCGGACGGACGATCGGAAGTGCGGAACGAATGCATGGGACAAAGGTCCTTGATCCACCTGCGCTCACTTCGCAGGATTGGACGAGGAATTCCTATTGTGCGTGCCCATTGTTCGCCGCGAAGTAGGGCTCTCGCCGGCCGGACGGACGGTCCGCACGATAGAGCTCTCAGTGGGGTCTGTGCTTCAATGATTTGATTTGATCTTCAGAACTCAATAGAGCTTCAAATTGTCCCCCAGGAATTCACGTACATCGTACAGAGTGCTCGAATCTAAGAAGTCGCGTCTCAATCATTCTTCGCTCCCGAGCATGATTTTCCGTAAGCCCATTTCGATTGTCGGATGAATGAAGTTTTGAAACTCATTGGAGCGCCACTCACCTGATTTTCTCCGCTGTTCCAATTTCTCCGCACCTTGTCGCGTCTTCATCGCCGACCAGAAGATGAGTTCGCTTGTAACATCCATCTCGTATGGATTGGTTTTCTGAGCCGGCGTTCGAAATTCTCTTTATCACGGCTAGGAGAACTAGTCTCTCTTCAGCACAATAAATTTTATGACGGTAAACCTTGCTCTCCCGGGGATCGAATTTTCCTCGAGGGAATTTTTGGAGCTCTTCGCAGAACAATTCTCGCTGAGCGGCCTAATGGGCTCTCAGGGGTGGATTGACTCAATGTCTCCTGCGAAAACTTCCTCATGTGCTCTCTTTTCCCCAACGCGAATTGAAGTCTGGTTCTCCTCCGGTGATCGAGACCATATCTCTTCTGGATGAAATCCCGAAACGCGTAGAAAGCGAAAGCTTGGCAAAAATCAGGTTTGTTGATAGTAGGTCACTCTGACAACGCAAACGGAACCAAGCACAGATTCTGCACGGAAAAGTTGATCTCGTGAGTCTCTGTATCATTTCATGTGGAATTGTCGGAGCGCCGGCAAAATCATAGTCCGTGGCCCTGAGGGACAGAGGTAGAGTTTCAATTCTCGACATTGGACGCTCAGAGGGCCTTTGTTCTCCGCTAGAGAAAAGATTCGAGATTCGAGGAGCTTGTTTAGCCCGACGAGATCGCTTCGTTCCGATGAAATGCTTACGTAGGTGCCAAGTCCTGTTGACCTCCAACGCAAGAAGGGGGACCAGGGTGGGACTAGGGTGAATCAGAAGTCTGAACTGTCTCTGAAGAACTCTATAGAATTGCAAGAACCCGATCCCCGTCGGACTGGCGATCTGTGCTTCATTGCCGTTTTGGTCCGGGGACATCTATCAAACGTCGAAGTATTTCACGAAACGTTCCCGGAGCTCAGTGCTTTCTCGAATCTCCAGAAAGAACTCGTTTACTTGCGAGGACTCAGCTCCATGGACTCCCGATCAATGTCCTTTGGAGGATTCATGCTGGTGCATCGGATGTCGTCCGCGGGCCATCGCTCCCGCTCGGGCACGTAAGGCGATTTCAGAATGCTGCTTGCTCTCTGCGGAGAGCAGCCATCCGTTTGAGAGCTCTCGAGGAATTGTCCTCGTCATGACCGACTTCTACGTTGCCCCTTGACTCTTCATAGTCCGTATAGCTCGTACGAGCGCATTCTATCGAACCGAGGCCTCGAACGTATACCTCATAAGTTCGTGATATTGTCATGCCATGCTTGTGTGGAGTGAAGAGCAAGGTGAACACACTACATATTCGGGGTTCTCCTTGTTTGCAGCTAATACTCATACATAACATTGCAAGCCTTCCGTTTTCCTCAGGCTTCCGAGGAGCGTTGGAGGAATGTCTTGATCATATTCCCATTCCGAGAATTGCACTTGACGGTCGGACAACCCTTGCGGTGATCGGGAACAAATCTTCCTCGTCTGAGACACAGGCTTCACGGTAGCTGCGGTGAGTCGTCGGAGAGAAAGCGTTGCCGGCTTCCGATTACCAGGTCGGATCCTGCTAATGGTAGATTAATACTCATGAACAGCCTCAGCAGAGTTGGTCGCGATCAATAATGAACCAAGGACCCGGAAGCGAACCGGGGAGTCCGTCTGCTGCCGTTTTTCCTCTCGTTCCACCGGCGTTGATGCACATAACCTTGTATATTATACATACAATTACTAACTTTCGCCCCTCTCCCCACTCGGCAACTCGTATGGAAACTCGTCGGAAGGCCGGTCGGTCGGTCGGTCAGCGGATCGAATCGGAAATTGACTTCGTGCTGACTACCTCGGGAACAGCAGATCAGCATGTCCGGCGAGACCGCAATCCCGCAGGGAATGCCGTTTCAAAGTGGCCGGGTCAAAGTGGCGCATTTGACCATTCGGAGGATCCGGAACGAATGGTATCACTGACTGAGAGGACGGGAAGGACGTGACGAATCGTGCGCCGCTCATAAACGGATAATGGAATCAAAGGAGGGTCTACTATTCATTCATGATATGGGCGACCGGATGGAGGCGTAGCGTCCCCGCTGCCTCGTGACGGATTTTTCGCAGAGGGATCCAGACAGGAGAGAGCCACATATATTATGCATTATCGCTTCCCCTTTTCGAGCTCGAAAGTGAAATTTACAAATTTTGTCGTGCCAATCACGTTCCATAGACCTCAGAAGCAAGTTGGGAGAGATCCGGGAGTTCTCATACATTCTCTCCGGCGCGGCTCTCCGGAAATCTCAGCGCTGATTCCGATGCCTGGTCAATAGAGACGGAGCACGAGCTAGTGGTATGGAGCATCGCGTCGTTCCCCAAGTCAGCCATCTCTCTCATTAAGAAAATAATTTGCCTCAAGCTAGCATATTTCGGAGTCGCTGAAGATTTCGGAACATTGTAGCCGACTCGGTCGACTCATATACGACGAACGCAGCTCGTCACCGTCGTGGAAAAGTTCAGCCGAGTCCATTACTGCTGTATTCAACATAGAATGTGAGACGTCCAGCACATCTCGCAAACGACCACTTCCAGTGCCTCGAGAATTCGTCTCCGTCTCTTTCATGCTTTGTTTACGAGCGAAACTTTTGCGTTGGAAATTCTGCTTGACTCCTTGATCCAGAGCCGCACGTGCCGGAACTTACCTTCCTATAGGTCAGCTCGGGCTGGACCTCACGCGGCGGAAATATCATGCCGAGTCTCACGAGTTCTCTGGGACACGTATACGCGGGTCGCGTCTTGCGAAGGTTGGCTTTCCGTCAGCCGAATTGTGTGGAGGTTCGAATCCATCGAGGCTCTCACTCAGATCAAAAGGCTGTGTTTCCACGTGTACATACATCAAGGTCACCTTCTCGAATACGATAGTAGGCCGAGACGCTGCGAGACCCAGAATGATCGGGAGTATCGGATGTGTCTGTAGGAATCCGCTGGCTGCGGCCTGAGCGTCTCCACGAACAGCTTCGAATATGGAACTCCTCGACGGTGACTCGATTATTATCCATCGCTCGAGTGAAGCAGTGGAGCAGTGAAGCCTCCAAGTTCACTCCACGAGATCTGGATTCTGGAGTTGACAAGTCCAGAGCGAAGTTATGGACTTGGTCACACTAAGCTTTAGCCCCATTGAAGCCACTTCCTCAGTCGGGTGCGCCTCTCACATTTCCAGCTAGCTCCAATCTCGTCACTTGCCGGTCGCGGGTCGCGGCCACGGCCAATCCCTGTGTGGGGCCCGCCGAATCATCGAAAACATCGGTGTGCCATGTTCTATATCGACATTTCCAGCTGGTACAGATGAATCCGAAGGAGTTATCTGGGGCTTAGGGGCTGATCATTCAATGGTGCTACTGGTGTTGGACTGAGCCCCACGCAATCCCTGCCGGAAGATAATCCCTAACAAGATTCAGTCTCAACTCACATTCCCGATCATAATCGATGCTCCTCGAGGTTGAGGATCCACGCAAACTTCTCCACCCATCGTCCATGATACAAGAAGCAGCTTACCATTTTTACATGTGGGTCTGTTTTTTATTTTATTCCGGCAAGATTTTCAGCGAGATTATCACCTCATGACTTGATCATCGGGGACAATCCGATGTCGATTCGGAGCCGGAAGGAAGCCGTGAGTTGTTTGGAGTGCACGACAAGAATCCAGTGCAAGCAGATTAAAAAGATCGAATCCCACATCTTCACGTGGGGGTACGTGTTTCTGGGCGACGATACAGGCGTCGTCACAGTGCAATTCCATAGCATTTCCTAACTATATCTACAAAATCGAAAGCATCTCCGAGGGTACCGGATTAACTTGAATCTGCGAAAATGTTATCAGCTCTTTCGTTTTTCTTCCGGTAGCCAAATGTCATATCGTTTTTGAATTGTTCATCTTGACTGAGCATAGTTTTGAAGAATTCGCTATTATCCATGGGACCAAGATCACCGCCATACTCGGCGGGGAGAACGGACGCGGGGATGTGTTTGTGCAAGGACGAGTAGTCGTGGCCGTGGAAGTGGATTCTCTCATGCAGTTTGGTGCTCAAGAACCTGCAAGGGTTCAACCCGAGATATTTCCTACTCGACAGATGATTTGTATCAATTATGATTATTAATTATCATAGCGACAAATACTACGATATAATAAATACCAATAATTATACAGCCTAATTATTAGAATCAATGGCGGTACGAGGTGCTTCACGAACCTTTTGACGATGCTGAAAAGTAAGCTGAAAACAGTTGGCTCATGAATTATGTGAATTGCCTTGAATCGCGCGGGGAAGCAGTCTTGGATCAACTGCACGACCTGTAAAGTCAAGATTCGATGCTATCAGGGAAGGATGCCTCGAATTCTCGCTGTGGAAATCTCCGGTATCCTTCGGAGCAAAACCCGAACGCGTGTTGAGTGAAATTAACCTTCTGGAGGTGTGCAGGGGGACTGTGTCTCAATTGCAGGAGTCCGAAGTGCTTCATGTCCATAATCGCGCAGATCCCGTTGACCTAAAGTTTGAAATTCAATCAGGCACCCAGGAGAGCAACATAATCGAGCCGCAGAATCTGATCTATCTATTGCTCCATCGATCAGTCAGCCCCGACGATCAGCGATGGGAGCTTATTTTATCGATTATTATCATTATACCCTTAGTTATTCATACCTGAGTGACAGGATCTTGGATGCTTTGCTCCAGAAATAATACGTTTGACTTGAAGATGTCCTCTGACTTGGTGGACTTGGGGTCCCACAGGCCTCCTACACGATGGAATGAGAGCGTCAAAGGATACAATGTCGGCAAACATCATGTCAATGTCCAGAAATGGATAATCACAGGTCGACCGGCGATTTCATGACGAAGGCTCATAAGGATAAATATCGTCCCCGCGATTTTGATCCATCGCGAGGAGGGGGGAGATCATGCTGGTAAACTGTTTGGGAACCTTTGAAAATGAAGACTGCGCAGCCTTGACGATCCCGTCCTCGAAGGATGGTCTGAAGGTTCCTATCGATGGTGTTTTTCTGGGCGGATGGATAGAATTCTCCGTAGATGTTCGGATGACTGGCGCGGACCCGGTAATAGTTCTTCAAAACCTGGCCAAACCCAGATATCCCGTTAATTTATTTGGCATATATCTGAATTTTCATGTTTGTAGAAATAACTTGAGATCGCCGAATCCACATAACGGAGCCGGCCACGATTTCCGCTCGAATCGTCCGCCTGAATTGAAGTCCGTAAAAAAATGCTTTCAGAGAATGACCAGATATGAAAACATGGACAAGAGGGAGCGATCCGCGACCGATCGAGGTGCGAAACTTTAACACTGCATTGACGGGATATTTCTAGTCACGGTGTAAACTCTGAGAATCCGGACCGACATATTTCACGCTGGGGAGCTCCATTCAATGTCTAATAGGCGCCGACCCGCGTGACCGGTACAAGACCTTCACGTGTTTCGAAACCCCGGCGCTACTGAATCGTATTCGTCCGATAAAAGGGTTTCTTCACAGCGATCTCTCGGGCCCACCGATAGACCACAAGGATTTTTGCGTGGATCCGAAAATGGACCGCCTGTTGCACTGATCGGAAACTCTAGCCCAGGCGCTGGACCGTAATAGTCGCCCCGAGTGAAAACAAGCTGGACCTGAGCGACTGTGAAGCAGTGATAGGCGATCCTCCGGTGATTGTGGAATGTAGGAGGGGATGAATCAATAGAACGGATGGGAGAAAGGAGTGGTTCCGAACTGCTGACGTCGCGGGACGCTCGTTCAAGTTTAGCGTTCAAGTTTCAAGGTTTGATACTCGCGCTTAAGCAGAGGAGTGTAAATACATACCTTGTACGCTCTCTCGGAATCGTATTTTCTGCACCGAAGAAATCTCAACAAAAAGGCTTCATCCGTCCGTGGTTGGAAATCGGCCTCGCCGCTTTCTTTTATCATCCGTCGCAGATTCTTGAGCTCCGTCCTCCTCCTGGTCACCGTTTCACCCAATTCACTCTCAGCGACAATTCTCACAGGAGCGGGGAGGTCGGACATCGTCGATTCACGCTGACGGTTTCACAAATTTTTCCCTCAATTCCCGAATGGGAGAGTATCCAATCGATGGGGATAGGGCCCGGTGGTCGGGAAATTGCCCAGGAATTTAACACTGTGTTCTCACTGTGTTTGCATGATCTGTTCACACCTGCGGAATGGGCATTTGTTAAGTATTTCTCGAGTTACTTGATCCGAACTTCCCGGCTCCAAGAAAGGTCTGCGAAATCATTGGTTCAGTTATTGAAGCTATATTGCCATAGGCTCACAGTCGCTTCGTTTACTCAGAGATACCGTATAAGGTTGCGGGAAATTACTATGGTCGTAGTTTCCGGAACGGTTCGCCTTGGAGCGGACTATCTCTCGGCGTAGTGAATCCCAATGCAAAAATGAACGTCTCTGCTCTGGGGAGTCGACGGAGAACCTCGAGGAACAACCACAGTGGTTATATCGCGCTTCGGTGGACTAGATGTGCCATACAGAGGAAGGTACCGATTCCCAGTAAATCAGCGTACCCACGATCTGTCTGAAGCCTCGAAATTTCTGGGCATCATTTCTGTGCGGGGTTTCAGCGCTCGAATATCGTCAGCTATCATTCCCGTCGTCGATTGCGTGAGGTTCGGAGCTCAGTCGAAGGGATCGTCAAAATTCGAATTCGGTATGGGAGCGCATCACCAGAATCGAGCATGTCACCCAGCTTCCGAATTGAGACGACTCACGTCGATTTCCGCTGCCAGAACGTCAGGCGACTTGCTTGCAAATGAGATGCCACTCGGACTGTGGAAAACATGGGCGTCATCGCTCCGTCTCGAAGTGTGTCGCTTGGCGTAATTCCAAACTTTCACTCATGGTCTGAATAGGGGCACCGTAATCTTTTGCTTCGCTAGATGAGGAGCGTTTTCCGGCCTGCATGCGACCGTCGAAACTTCTCGCACTTGTTCGTCTGTGTGGAAAAAAACACGTATGGAGAATCCGACCTCAGAGAGGCTTAACCTGGTCCTCGGTTTCGCTACGCGCAGCGACAACCGATTCCAAGATAACTGTTCTTCTGCGAGACTCGCGGTCGGAGCTGTGTCGAAATAGGAATCTGGCGCCGGATCATGATGCTCGCTTTCGAACAGACACAAGTTTCCCAACCAAGTATCGCAATTGAGGCCGCAGTTACAGTTACGATGTAACTTCGATCATCCGAGAAAGCTCCTCCATCAAGACTCCGCAGACTCCCTAAAACTTTTATCTCAGGGTACATCTGAGGCCGAAGATGCAACGCCGACACGGACTTTCATCATTCGGATGAGTCCATCGAGAATTTCCCTCACACGGAGCGAAAATCTGGTTCAAACACTTCGATCCGGATTCCTGATTTTCACTTCGGTTCCCCATGTCTCTCTCGGCCAGGGCACGACCGATTCCGAATCGCCTCCGAGGACGGAAACTCACCTCTGAGTCGACCTCTTGCAGTTCAAGGTATTCCTGTTGTTATTGCAGCTGCGGACACGAGTAGTGAAAAGCTGAGCCGTGGGCTTGAAGTCTGCAGCGGCATCAGCGGCGGCGGCAGCGGGATTTCACCGTTGGTCCGTTCGTCTGAAGAGAAAGTGATTTTCCCTCTTGCCAACCGCTGCGCTGAGTGACCCAGTTCGGAACGCGACTTCGGCCACAGGCAAAAGATTCGACCAGACTGTCGGCGAGCCGCTCAGCGAGCAGGCAGCGCGTGAAACAGCCGACTCCGGAGACGAAGCTTGTCTTCAGACAGAAGGGTCGTCCTGGTCGCCATCGCTCTCTCGTCTTCTCCTCGCCTTCGTCTCCCTGTTTGAAAGAGTAGGTAAACGGATTTCTGTTCAGAAAGGCTTTAATGAAGCTGAAAGTGCGTTCGGACGCACACGCAATCGGAAACCCTAAAAGACGAAGACTTTTGCTTTCTGATCGTGGCGTTGCCGATTCTGCAACGCCGCTCACCGGAAACAGCAACGTCTCCCCTCGAGCATCTTCTGATCTCGTCAGCGGAATTGACGACAGCCTTGCGTGTGTTTGAGCGACGGTGTGGAGTTATGATGGGTGAACAATACAATAGATCCACGACTAGCAGGAAAGAGACAAGATAAGGATGAAAAATATTTTCCTCCTTCTCATAGCTCCGGATGACACTTCTGTGAGGGGCCAGGGTCAGGGGAAGTTCGCTCGGGCCTATCTTCGTAGACTACCGTCTACGAAGAGTTGGTACCACGCGTCCGGGAATGGAATTCTGATGCTTCACATCGACGAACACTCATAAATACATATATGAATACTATCGGGAGGCACAAACATTGTTTGTGTACCTCTTCTGGTCACACAGTCGAAGGTTCTGTCGATGCCTCAGTCTGCCGCTTGGGACCAGCTCGCTTATCCAACAGTCCGTGTTGCGTTCGCAATCAATCCATTCGCATCCGTTTCCTCACGTCTGGCTGAAGGACGCACAGGTGAACAAAAGCGTACGCGATAGAGCGCTTCTTGAATGAGCGACGTTAGCTGTCAATCAGTTACGCCGCTCGATATATGTCATCTTTTTCGGCAAATATTTCCCCCTTCGTGGAAAGATACCGTTGGTCATCGGAGTTGTAGTCTTCCGTCTGTGGACTTCCGCGACTGATGGCCCACTGCCGGCCTGGAAAATGGCCAACGACGAGGAAACATTTTTCCTGGATCCTTGTAACCCTCGTGCGTTGAGTGACTTGACGTTCGAAAGTCTACTTCTCGTAAGCCTAATTTTGGAGATAATAGAAAAAGAGAGTCTGCAATGAATAGAATCACCCCACCTGGGACTCTCGTCGGCTGTTCTAAGGCTAAAAGCAGGACCGCCTTCGGTAAATAGAATCAGAGCCGGAGCTCGATTCTTTAAATTTATTAGCCAAAGTAATTGAGTATCACAGAAAATCGTGTCGAGAACGATCCACTTACATTTAGAAAGAGTATAAATCAATTTGGTCTTGATTTCCGCCCTTACCGCAACCAATTCCAGCGATACAATATTCTTCGATCACTCCCGAGAATCGGAGTATGAGGAGCCCAGGATCGAGATATTTAGAACTGTCTCCCTCGATATGAGTACGTATAAGGAACACGAGGGAAGGAGGCTAGTTTCTCTCATATGAAATCCTGTGACTGCATAGACGGTATCCTACACCTGACAGATCCGGATATCATTGATTTCAGGAACATGCATCATCACTCATGGGCCTCGGATGCTAAATCAAATATCTCTACATGTAGTGGTGCTTGAATCTAGACGAGCGAGACTCAAGATAAGCTTTTGAACTCAAGTAGAACCTAACCTGTGAGCGCCATAGCTCCGACAGGGAACCAGAAAGGGTGGAATGAATCAATCTACAAGAGGAGACGACTAAATACAACGTTGAAGACAGTTCTCGCCATACATCATGTCAGTCTCGTGCTCGATGGGTGCTCCACGAATATCGTTCAAGCTGACCGTCCCGATGCCATCTCGGAATGCCTCCTGGATTCAGCCAAGCAGAAACGACTGGAATTCGGGTACAACGACTTGACGAAAGGTACCGCTACCATTCAGGATCAACAAGCATCAACACAGACTTGTGCCGTACGATTCCTCCGCGCGGATCTCGAGAGCATCCGGCACATCTCCCTTGTCAGGAGGGTTTTATCAGTCTTCGAATATGTGTGGCTTGAATGCATCTTGCTAGAACTAGAGTCCGTTGTAATACGATTGGGCTTCCTGCGCGCGTCGAACTGGCGATCTTCGTCGGCGGACGTGGGCTTGGTCTCGATCACCGAAGAAAGGCATCACTTCGATCAGAGTGGCCTTATCAGAATTCTGAGATAATCGGGAATTCCCCTGAAGTAACCAATTGATCACGCATCGGAGATATCTGCAAAGATTTGCCTTTAATCGAAAGCCAGCCGATCTCCAAGAATTCAGGAGTCAGAAAGGAGCAGATCCGAGTGCTGACTCTCAAGCACCTCCCGACGAGAAATCGGTCACTCCGCGGGGCACGGAGATCCTACCGTTGCAGACGTTTCCTCCGCTCCTGGACGAGCTTCGCATCTTTGTTGCCAAGGCTCTTCTTTGGAGGGAAATCGAATGAGTTGAACACACTCTGGCCTTTCGATAAAGCTTTGTGGAGAGAGTAGAATTGCGAATATCGTCGGTAAACGTTCCATTCATCCTCGCCGATTCGGATGTATATCTGTAATTAGCTCCGGATAATTCCCTCGAACTTGCGCGGCTCGACCCGAGCTTCCGACGAGGGGAAGGAAGCTGCAGCTATCGATGAGGTGAATGAGCCCAACCTGATATACGTGGAAGGCGTCAGAGCCGTGACCAGCAAGGAAGGCTGAAGGAATCCATATATTGATTGTGGGTCTGAACTGTGAGGCAGTGTCGTAATCAGATGTCACGGAATGTGTGTCGGAGGACGAGTCTTCCTCAGCCAATGGACCTCTGGAATTCGATAAATCTGCTCAGACATTGATATCGCAGGGTCGGTCGAAGGATTTTGTCGGATGTTTCCGAACGAAGGTTGGCCGCGATCGAATGCAATGAATAATCGTACCTCAGGTCTGTGAGCTCTTCTCGTAGCCGTCTGATCGTGGACTCTTTCATGGCGAGCTGTTTCTGGAGTCGCTCATTGAATTCCATGAGCTCAGCATGCATTTCAGCGACCTGGGACGGCAAATCGATTGTAAAGAATGGCATCAGGTGTATGAGTGCCTCTTCTCATTGGCTCTCGCTCGGCATTTTCCCGAATCCGAACCCATATCGATGCAGCAAGATCGCTACTCGCGAAGGCAGGAAGCTGCAGGTTCTGTCCGAGAGTCTATTGCATCACGCAACTCCATATCCTCGCGTTGCGCGGTATCACAAATGCACTCGTCTCTTCACTATTTATTACCTGGACAAGCTTGGCTTCGTAGTTTGTGGGATCTTCGACGGCGTAGCCCATGCTGTTGTTGGAGGCAGTGCTCGACTCCAGAGAGTTCTCCGGTAACATTTCCAATGATCGAAGCTCTAATTGAGGATAGTAAGAGAAATACAGATCAGCGAATTTGTGGGTCTCAGCTCTTCGAGAACAACACGGAGGGGGGATCCCTCCAGGAATGAGGGTGAAGAGCATGTCGCGACCTCATCGTGACGTTGCAAAAGAACTGAAGTATAGTGACAGGTGGGAATTCGGAAAGTTCATTCTCGGACTCCGGGGGTGGTTTCTGTCGAAAACTTTCTCCACCAGGAGAGTTCTCACCCGGTGACACCACAAAAAAAGTTCCCGGCGTTCCTGCTCAGCGGACGGTGCTATGTGCTTAACTCGACGACTGGAGGCATTCTGGTCGGACGATGAGCGAGAACCTGTGTCAACCGTCCTAATCCACAGTATTACGGGAGAATCGGGGAGATGCTGCCGATCATATCCTCTCGATCAGGGCAACGGTCGTCAAGGGATTCACCGCTCACGTCTCTACCTTTTAATCGTGGCTCTCAACGACCAGCAGCTGAGAAGGACGCGGTCTCGCCAGAGGCCGAAAAACTTCCCTTCTCACTCACCATTATCTTTGATCCCGTCATCCTTCAGCATCTGGACGGCATGAACGTATTTCTTCAGTTGATTCTTGACTTGTTCTAATTCACGGCTGAGATGAGTATTCTTGTTTTCGGCACGAAGGAATTTCTCTTCGGATCGCCGGGCTTTCTCACCCTCCTCCAATAGCTGAGCTTTCAGCCTCTCGATTTCCAACTCCAATTGTTTCCGTCGCTCGACTAATGTTTCCAACGCCTCCCGTAATTCACCTTCGAGGAAAACGGAACAATGAGCGTTCCGGTAAGATGAGACGCCATTGGTACCGCCTCGCCGGTTCGAGATGCTGTCATTAGAGATCGGCGGGGAGAGGCTGCTCAGAGAGATCCATCTTACCTTCTGACAGTGACGTAGCATTACTCTTGACCGAGACTGTCCGCTCGCTACGCCCACTGATGGTACTCTGACCATCGCCCTCGGTCTGTTCCTCGAACTTCACCGGGATCAAATCCCCATACGAGAGTCCCAACGAGTCGCTGATGGGCGTCAGACCGGCCTTCATCGATGGAGATTTCCCGAAAGCCTGCGATGAATAGAAAGTCTCGATATCCAGCACTGAGTCTGGGGACTCGCTACCGCGGCTCCGACTCAATTGATGTCCAACCTACCTGAAGGAAAGCGTCTTCACCAGCTTCGACAGGACTCGCAACAATCGAGGAAGGTGCACTATCTAAAGTTACCATTTGAGACGTGGGTTTTTTCTTCTTCCTCCTGATCTGGCATTCTCGGGCATCGGGGGCCATCACAGGTGCCGGAGCCGAGATATCTACGAGACACAAAATCTCTTATTTTTCTTCCCGCCGTTCTTCTTTGGAGCTGGATGAAGAGATTCTCCTGACAATATCATTTGTTCGAGCAACGGCATAATCCGAACCTTCTTTATAGCTCGCTTCCACAGCTGGACCGACGGGTTCCTCTGGATCCAATTTCATGCTGTCGACGTTCAACGCAAAGAGAATGCTTTTCATCCCTTGAGAGATCGTCTCAAGCACGGCGCACAATTCTTCGTCCCTGGAATATCAGAGCAACTCGATTTAGCGTCGGGATCCGAGGACCATTAGAGGGCGAGCGGATCTTTAGTTGCGCCGGCTAGGGCCGATGAGCGCTTCTCTCCGAATCATCAGGGCCGTTAAAAGCGAGATCGTACGCGAGATCATCGATCATACTATCACACAAGTTCGTAGCACCTCATGAAAGCCCACGGCTCGTAGAATTTCTCCAGCTTGGGTTTCTCCTGCGCAGCAAACATCTTCCCGCAGTACTTCTCCAATGTGTGTTCATTCAGAGTGCAGCGAATCCAGGCTCGAGCTTTGCCGATCTCAGTAGAAACATTTTTCAACATCTGGAACCTTAAACAACGCAGAAAGCGCTCAAAATCAAGATCTCCACAGCGTCATGAGCGGAATTCGAAACGGGGAGAGCACGACTACTTGCGGACCCCAAGTCATTTAATCTCCGTCAAAACCGAAGGGATTTCGGGATGACTCTACGTCGAGCCCCCATGAACAACTTTATTGAGGAGCTCGATCGCGAATATTCTCGGACTGATACTAAGAATTATATTAAGCCGGTGTCCATACCTTTCAAGCTCATGCTTCGTGAGAAAACTCGCAATGAAGCTATACAGCTCACTCGAACCGCGCGGATCGGTTTGCAAGAGGCCACGCACCTGCAAAGAGAACGGCAGTCGATAAAGTTCGAAATTCTCTCATCATGGATGGAGTTCGCTCCACACGATTCGAACACAAACTCACCATGTCCGTCAGGGATGACTGCTTCGATCCTGAATGGGGTCTCAGACCGTGACCCAGAGCCCTCTCGATGGAGCTGCACAGTATCACAACTCGAGCGTCGCGCTCCGTGGCGAGCTCCTGTCCGGAGCCGAAGCGGGTCTGACACTATATGGAGGGACGGGGAAAGCTAATTGAAGCTGACCAGATTCCGCTCCGAGCATCTCTCTGTTATCTTTCACGCCGGATCGAATTTTACGATCCACGAGGGAATCATTACCTCTTTCAGAGCTTCAAGGAGATTCTTCTGAATGGCTCTCCGTTCCCGCTCGTATTCCTCCATGTCGTTAGCAGGGTCGACGGACTCAACCGGAAGAGTTCGCAATCCGTTTCGAGATCCCGAGCTTTCGATTCTCTGCTGAGACTGGAACAACGAGCGCTCGTGAGATTGGAGAATCATCGACGCCATCGAGGACTCACGCAAAGCTGATGACAACAGAAATCGCGAAAATGATATTTTCAGCGTAGAGTTTCAGAGCTCGATCACGTAATCTTGTTCCTTGAAAACAAGCAAACCTAGTCTATGCGGCGAGGTATCGACTACGACTTCTGAGTATGGTCGAGGGAAACTCCAGGATTACGGACGCCCCTCACAGCCCATGTGAACACAGCTCATCAAAGGACAACGCCCCCTTTCAGAAACACACTCTGACCTCAGACATTTACCCAATCGAGTTCCCTCTAAGACTCCTGCAAAATACGCGTCACGGATAGCGTAATTGCTGACCTAATGGGATATGTCGGATTAGGGAGCTTCTGTTGCAGTCAGCGACGGCTCTCAGCCAAAGGCTGAACATACAGCAAGCCCTTAGCATCCATGAAGACTTATAACACGCTTTGGTGCGAAACAGTGTCACGGGATGACGACAACTTCCGTCGCGTCCTTACGGCTCGTGCGTACAAACGGCATCGCAAGAAGTTCCCATAGAATTTATTTCGAACCAGAATGCTGTTTTTTTTCGCGACTAGAATCAGAGAACTATCCCACGATTCGAGCGCGAAAACAATCGTAGCCGAGAAAAGAGCCGCGCTCCCTTGGAGCGCTACCATGTCGAGCTCGATGTAGTCAAATGAGACACTTATCTATTCTCGCCCTCGCTGTAGTTTCACGCGCCTGCGAGATGATCACGCCGAACGGAACCGGTCGACGTTTGTGAGCCTTGATACCAGCGAAAGATCAAATAGCACAACTCCTGTTTGCAGATATCGTTCCACGCTCCTGCGAGAGCCCCGATATTCGGAGGCTACGGATCGATAAACGGAACACAGGAGCACCTTAGAGCGATTCGTGAACAATTGTCCGAAATCATTCGACTCCCAGAGAGCGTTCTCAATCTCGGGACTACCGGGGGAACGGATTTCTGCGTAGCCCGCAGCTCTCGGTTCGAATCGAGCGCCAAGTATTCGGACACCACCAATAGACCCTCGTTTGGGGAAAACCCACAAGACCTCGGAGTCAGCAGGGAGGCATAAAAAACTAATGAACACCGAGCACTCAAGCCCCCGGATTCTCCGTGCGATTTCGAGCTCGTATCCTCGGTTGCACCGAGGTCTTTGCAAGTCTTGAAAACTATCTGTCCCCGGTCATAAGGAAGATGAGATTCTTCGATAAACAAGGGAGAACATCTCCTGAAGTTCATAGGCTCCGAAGAAAGGATCTCTCGATCATTTTTGACCTTCGATGCATATTCTGCATTCCGGGAGTGCTACAGATGTAAACTAATGGTCAGCGGGAAGACATGGAGAACCCCGACTGCGTTGTTCGATGAATGTTCCGGATGATATGTCAACGATTCCCGAAGAGCCCGAGATGACACGGCTCCGGGAGTTTCTAGCGCTGTCCCTACGTTAGGACCTCATAGATGCCTCATACAAATCGACGCAGAGCGGAGCACGGGAAATCATCGATTCTGATATTTTCCGTTCGGAACATCGATCGAACTCACCGCTCAGTCCAACAGATTGTCGAAACTCTGAACTAACACCGACGACCCTTTAGTTTGTTTCCTAAAGCCTGTTGCAGAGGTGAGTTTGTTGGGACATATGTCCACGAGAGATTCCACGGAGACTGGGAAGTTTCTCTCCCTCTAGACTCTATCCCTCATACATCCGTCGACCACCATCATCACCACTGACCACTCACCACCGACCACCACCATCACAAACACAGAATGATGTCTTCCAAAACAGCTGACGGCATGGCGCCGGAATTCGAATCGCTGTCATGGCGATGGACGTTCCTTGCGACCAGCGTTCCAAAATATTCCCTCTGACACACGAACATGTATCGTTTTTGGCAGAATCCATCGCCAGAAGCCTCGTTCCTCCTCATCGGCGATTTCGGAAACACAATTCAGAGCCCAAATTGATATTGGGGCGATAGCAGACAAATTTGACTTAATGTATGGACTCGGGATTGCCAGGGACCAGGGACATTCGGAGTCGGAACAGCCTCCTCCAGCACGGGAGCGTGCGCTCGCTCAAAAATCAAAGCGAGCCCTCCAAAATAAAGCTAAGCAAGAAGAAGAGAGGAACCGGAAAGGAAATTGTTGGGAAAGTCGTAGTCATTATCTGACACTCGCAGGTCTACATTCGATTCCCCCTATAGAAGCCAGGCAAAGCTCGCTCGGAATACAGTCGAATATAACCTCGTTATTCAACTGGTGACTTGTCATTTTCTTGTGGTCTCAATTCTCGATTCGCAAATCTTCCGAGGCAACTCGAACTCTCATAGAAATCCTGAGGATACTACACCCATCCTCAGGGGGATTCCTCACCAGCTTCCCATCCATCCGTGGTCCTAGAGGCTCCGCCGGTATGTGTGGTCACCCTAGATCGAACGATCTTCGCCGCCGCAGAGAACGAAATTCAGTCTCGAGCTTCGCTCACGTTGCTAAACCTTTCTTGCCCTCTGCAATCTGACACATATTACTCTCTAAGTATTTACGATAGAATGGGAAATCCAGCCGGTCAGAACTCGTCCCCTAAGCGTCCGGAAGACACGGACACTGATGAAGCTGGTTACGATTTCGGCGCTCGACTCTTCGTGGGCCAGCGAGCAAAATTCTAACCCCAGATCGGATCACAACAACCCAAAATCCAAGTGAAGGATCCTAAACCTCATTGTTCCCCGAAGTAGGAAGCGCGAGGAACTGTCGAAGATGTCTTCCGTCGCTATTGTCCACGAAGACGGCGGGCGACAGCCTTGATTTGGGTCCGACACGCAGACAATGATCGTGATGAAATATCCCCAGTTCCACTCTTCTGGGATACAGAATCTGACGTTTGACATGAGATTGTTATATATGTTGCAGCGTCTGACCGAGCCTCTTTTGGCCATCGAGGCTCTCGAATTTGCGAGGCTTGGTGGCATGGTCCATGGCGTATTCCGGCTGAGTTGGTTTCTTCCGGCTTCCGGTGTGCTCATGGACTAGTCCTGTTCCATAACGATACGACAAGAAGAGGATTTTCATTCGTCATTCTACGGCGATCAGCAAACTCTTCCTGAGCTTGTTGGCGCTCAGTCATGCGGGCCCTCGTTTCCTTGGTTGGAACAGAGTAGAGCGACTATCCTCGATCCAGTGGGTGCGGCAAACTTCGCCGCAGTCCGAACTGGGCAGACCGGCGACGAACAGATCAGGAACCGCACGGTGCAGGCGTGGCAGGAAAGGTGGGACAGGCCGCTGGGCTCACAGTTGCATACCGAAGTTGAGCAGGTGGCTCTGACGGGAGCACGGAGAGCTCCCCTATTACAAGACGCAGATTTTATCACGGACAAGGAGATTCCATGCAATACCTAGCGGCGAGGAGACTCGCGCCGTCCGAGTACCGCCCTGGGTGCCCCAGCGGCAACAAGGACGACGTGCCCCACACAGTTTTCGAATGCCCGAAATTCGCTTCCCGGAAACGAGGGATCACGGCCCGAACGACACCAAAGGTCGTGGACTGAATGCTGGCGAGCGAAGCAGAGCGGGAAAGTAACTCGCAGATTCTGGAAGACATCATGGAGAGAAAAGAAGGCATGAGTAGAAGAGTTCGTGGGAGACGAAATAGCACGACGAGCGGCCGAAAGAGCCTACACATGAACTACAAGCAGGACGGAGGGGGAGCCGGAGGTAGTGATAAGAGATGGCGACAACGGTCCTTTGCCAGTTCCCGGCTCCCTTTCCTTGGTATGGCGAAATGCCTCCTTCAATGAAGAAATCGGCAAAAGAGGCACTAGTCCCCTCCTGGACTACAGGCGCGATAATGGCGCTACTCGAAGCGCAGCTTGCCCCAAACCCTGATCCTAGAGTCCTCGGTGGGGCCCTAGGCTCGGATTGCTGTCAGACTTCTCGAATATTCTGAGGAAATTCACCCCTTCCGTAGAGGCGTGGAGTGCGATGAACACCGGCCGCAAGCCGTGACCCGCGATCACGATCCCATGGGCGCTGACTTGCTGACGGCTCTCGATATCCGTATCAGGGGCTCCTGGACAGGATCCACCCTGAAGCATGAGATGCTTATTCCTAGGTGCAAGAATTTTGGACCTGATGTCCATCGGGGGTGCGGGATGCGGAAGCGTAGATGTGAATCGATCCCCGGAAATCGTATTCGTGATGCGAGCTTCCAAAGAGCTCGGGTCCGCTGAATGATTCACGCAGCTTCTTCGAGCGCTGCTGAGCCGCAATCCCTCATCTTGATACCTTCAGAATCGAGACTCTCCCTCACACCCAGGATCCCCTGACAAGATCCGGATTATGGTACATTCAAGTGGATCCAAGTTTCCCCGGCAAAGATCGTGACAGAACAGGAGCCTGGCATACCTACTCCGACTCGCGCCTGGAGAGACTCAGGAGCCCCCTCTTTCCAGAGGAGTTTCCCAGTGGCGAATCCGGGACAAGGGCGCCATGGGTGATTGCTGCTATCTCGGGATCTAAACGTGTGATTCTACCTTGGCTCTCACGTGCCATCAGGCGGGCATGAGCCTCTGATGCTTTGCACCGGTGAGCGAGGGAGCCATTTCCCCCGGGAGTTTTCCGTACGTAATGCTCGAGCATGGACCTTGCGAAGAGGCGTAATCATTCCGGTACGTGAGTCCGGTCGCCTGGCCCTTTCCGAAATTCGAATCGGGCCCCTTCCGGGAATATATCCCGTGCGCGCCCTTGCTCATGACAGCCCTTTTAGCTTCCATTTCGAGGGACAGCTGAGGTAGTATTCCGTTCCAAACGAATCGTAGACCGCCGACCCTCTCGGATATATCTTAGATCCGTCACTACGATTCACAGAGAGAAACGGGGTTTGCCGGACCCAAACGAGCGAACCAAGAGGTGGAACACATCTTCAATGCGGCTAGCGATGATAGGCATGAGGATATCCGCGGGGAATGGCATATCATCTCGGCACGCTGTCACGAAACTCACGGAGTCGAGAGTAGTCGGATGCGCGCCGTAATTCGAATCCCTGTCAATGCGATTCGACCACTCCGAGTCTAGCGCAGCGTCACATCCTCCTGGATCGACGCGAGATCGTCGACCCTTGTTGCCAGCGACCCCCGCAGCCTCGTGCGTGGATATCCGATATGTTTTTACCGCATCTTCGGAGCCTTCGATACTATGAAATCGAGTCGATAGCAGACGACAATTTGGTCAACATTCGAAAAGGCGACAGCCAGCGATTCTGCCACTTTGGCACCGACAGGAAATGTTACCCACCGGTTAAGTTCCCCGCGCGGTTTCTAAAGTAAATTCAAAGTATTGGATCTGCGAGACTGGCAGGGACGCCTGACATTCGACGCTTGATCGGGGAAGGAAGCCCGGCAAGAACTCGAGGAAGTGCATTCGGGTTGAAGAGCGCGGGTACACACTCAAGCATTCCTCCGGAGAAGCTTATGTGCAGAAGGTCAGTTTAGTGACTAATTCTTATTGGGCTCGGTCTTGAGCCGCCAGACTCGAAGGATGGTCAACTGGGAGTGATCCAATCCCACCTCTTGGTCGAGCTGTCGACGGAACAAACGTGTTCAAATTTTTTCGGTTTGCCGACACGCCGGGCCGAAACTATTGCGATTTGTGGTTCTTCGACGGCGTGATTCCACACTCCGTCGAGTTTCGTATCGGTTAGGGCTTCCCTCGAAGTTGGTGAGAATATTCCGGAGGCTCAGGATGGGAATTTCCTCCCTCTCGCAATTCCAATCATGGAACATCGAATCCCTCGCGGGATCCGTGAAAATCTTCGACGCTGTCCCAACAGTGTCCCGATCGTGAGCCGATAAGGAAGGAAGGATTGTCAATTGTTCCAATGTGCTCCAAGAGCTGCCCTTTAGCTTCGCCGTCAGGGATTTCAAACAGAAAGAAAGCTTGCTCGGTCATCCCCCAGCCGCAGTCGGTACGAGTCGGAGAGAAGGTCTTGGATTCCTGGAAATCTCAAGGAGTGAGGTTCTTATATAATTTCGGCAAACGGCTCCAATCTTCCAACTTTTGGCGAAGCCATCTCCTCGGAGGTTTGCGGCGGGGAATATTCAGGATCCAGAGGAATCCCAGCAGATCGGGTGCATCAATCAGCTAATATAATTTTCTTCTGAGGAATTATTCGACATCTTCCCTCAGACGTCTCCCACGAGTCGCTAGCCGCTCCTCTCCGATCGCTCTAAATCTTTACAGGTGAGATGCCCTCTCAACGCACTGAGCATTGGAATTGATCGCGGTATGGATTTCATTCAGGACGTCCCGGGGAGATTCCAAAGCTCGCCGCCTCGGATACAAGTCCTGAAAATCCGATGATCGCTGAGAATACCCTTCTGCCAATTAGACCGACATCAGAGGCTGAATCATGACGGACAGCAGTTTAACGACTCAGTATGCGAAGATTGCGCTAGTGATCGCCGCCTACTGGATAGTTTCCATATCCATGGTGTTCCTGAATTCACATCTTCTGTCTTCGGAAAACCGTCTCGACGCTCCGCTATTCATAACTTTCACGCAATGCGTTGTCACTGTTGCCGTGTGCCTCACCCTGAGCGGCATAAGTAGGGTATGGATTAGTTCTACATACGACCGATAACGATGAAAATCTAAGACTGCAGACCAAGCATCTCAAAATGATAAGGATTCGAATGATGATGAGTCGAAGACTCGATGTAGTGCCCGGCCCAGAATGAAGGCTGCGAGCCAAGGTGAAGAATGATATCCCGATACGCCCCATTCTGATGGAAATTCTCCCACAGCTCTTCCCGAAACTGTGCTGGTTCCCTGAGTGTACATTATCCAGAGATAGAATGCTGAAGCTTCTCCCTGTGTCTATCTTTTTCGTGATGATGATCACATTCAACAATATCTGTCTTAAGTATGTGGGCGTCGCATTCTACACCGTCAGCCGATCTTTGACAACGGTTTTCAATGTGATATTCACTTACATTATCTTGGGTCAACGGACGTCGTTCCCCGCCCTGCTATGTTGTGGACTCATAATCGGTAAGACCTCAATTCACCCACTCATTGAGTCAATGTAAATGAGCGATATCCGCATACAAAGAACAGATCGACCCGAGGCACTCCACCTTTGGGTCGAGATCCCAAACCAAGCGAGGATGATGACTTCTTCTAATTGACGACGCTACTTCCCTACCATCAGCCGGTTTTCTGCTCGGAGTCCAGCAAGAAGATGGAGCAGGGTCTCTCAACGTGATCGGAGTACTGAGCGGCATCCTGGCTTCGGTGTCCCTCAGCTTGTATTCTATATACACGAAAAAGGTTCGTGAATCGCGAAAGGCCTCCAGTTGTCGGGAACGCGTTGAATGAATATCTCGAAAGGCGGAAGAGCATGAGTAGATCGGGAAATATCTCGGACTGTATCAAATCTCCTACTCCTGACGTATGCCGTTTTTGGAGCAGGTCCTGAAAATCGTCAATGATTCAGTGTCCTTACTGTCCTTCTACAACAACGTGAACGCCCTAATCCTCTTCATACCACTCATTGCTGTGTCTGGTGAGCTCTCCTTAGTGGCGAAATTCAGTCTCCTCGGTTCTCCAGATTGGTGGACCGAAATTTTCATCGTCGGAGTCTTCGGCTTCGCCATCGGATACGTTACCATGCTCCAAATCCAGGTTAGCTGAGAGCTTGATCCAGCAAGCGTTTCGTACTGTGTATCAGAATCGTTCAACGAAATTGATGATATGATAATGCTCAGTTCTCGAACGGCTACCGAATGGATTATACGCGTACGGACGATTCCTTTCTCCATCTAGGTCACGTCCCCCTTGACGCACAACGTTTCGGGTACAGCGAAAGCGTGCGCACAAACCGTCATAGCAGTCATCTACAGTGAGCAGGTAAAATCTTAGAAGAGAGGGGGGATAGATGAGTTCCGTCGGCTTCCGAAATCCCGCACAGTCGATGAGTTCTCCAACGCTTCCTGTTGACGCTCCCGATATCACACTTCAGGTGAAATCCGCGCTCTGGTGGACGTCGAACGCTTTAGTCCTGATAGGGTCAGCACAATACACTCGCGTGCGCCAAGTCGAGATGGCGAAGCATCATCAAGAAGCCCCGAGAGCTCAGCGCAGCGGGAAAGGGGACAAGAAGAGACTACTCGAATCTGTTTGAGATCGAGCTTCACGGATCCAAGGGTCAACAAAGCAGGCTGACAATGCAGCGGTTCTCCTCCAGGTGCATCATGAGAATTCGTATCTTGGGCATCCTCGACGACTCGACGCGCAGCGCCGGAAGGATCGCGGTGGATGCATTTGTCGTTCGAGCAATCCGCCGCCTAATCCACACCGACGGCCGGGGCATCCCTCAAGCGGCACCCCACATTTATATAATCGTTGATCGTTACATCATCTTATACCGATAACGTTTCCCCTCATCCCAATTCCATTTGAGCTTCCTATTTAATGAATTATGAAAAAAAACATACAGAATGGTTCGAGATCGAGCTTGTTGAAAGATCCGCGGTTTCACACGGAGGATTCTCCGTGCACTAGTCGAGACGCTCAAGCTGGGAGCGACTTGGATAAAATAAACATTCGACGTCACCGAGACGGGCCATGAGAGACAGGGGGCTTCTTTATCGAATGCCTGAACCGGGCACTGAATTCTATTCCATAACTTTCTTGAATTTCTCGTGCCTGCGTTGTCTTCTTGATCCGAGCTGAAGAAGCCCCTCCGAAAACTTCTCGGGAGAGTTTCGCTTCATTGTTACACCAGACGCGAACGATTCCAACATACTCCGGGAGTGGGACGAACTCACGAAACTTCGGATAGGAGATCTTTCACCTCCCGAACCAATCTCTCGATGTCGCTTCCGCTGAAATTCCGCCGAATCGCGGTGTAAGTTTTTTTTCGTTGAATTATCTAGATCAGGACCGCGGAGTCGTCTAATCGGGGTGATAGATGAATCATACGAATACCGTGACAAATAGCGGAATATGACTCACTTGTTCTTAAGCTTGGTCATGAGCTTCTCGAGCTGTTCTTCATTCAGTTTCCCGACGGGCTCTGCTGCTCCATCGAGAGTCGACCCGTTGAGCGCTTTCAGATCCTCCAGCTCGTCCAGACGCTCACAAGTAGTTTCCAAAACGCTTTCGACTCTTTTGGCACGGCCTTGAAGCGCTTCAACTTCGTTGATCATCTGGGGATCCGTTTTCGATGGATTTTTGCGTTGGACATAATGAATTATCTCGTGCAGTCTGCAGTATCAGCAATATGAGGAAATGCATTAGTACTGGGTCAGTTTTTTCGCGCCTAGGGAATCTGGGGAACTTCCCGCTCAATAATCTGATTCTTTCGGAATCCGCTCGCTAACCTCACTGTGTTGAGATTGCATTTTTTCAGAGCCGAGTCGTATTTTTCTCTGAGCTTCATCATGTTTTTTTGCATGGTGTCGATCTCCTTGGCTATCACTTCCATCTCCTTCCGCTGCTCGTCCTTGGTCTCCACTACGATACGGCTCTTCTCTTCGAGCAATCTGAGAACCGCGGACATCTGGACTAGGTATCGATCCCGAAATCGCTGCGTCGTTTTCAGCGAAAGCTCCAAGAGCTCCTTCGGATTCATGGTCTGGAGGAAAATCCTCGGTTATTTCGTTTCTCTTGGATTCGGTCCTACTGCGGCCATAAGTGTTCTTGATCGAGAAGTACAATAATTCTGAGAACGATCTTGTTCAGAACTAACCTTATCAGACTGAGCAAGCGCCGGCACTCTCGATCCCCCCAAGATGACCTTAATTTCAGTTTCGAAGTCGGTCAGTGGATGGTGGATACGGTTCTCGACATTACCCAAGTCCTCACAGAGAAGATTCTTCGTCGGTTCCAAGGGACAAATCCGATATCTCAACAAGGATATGTCGATAAGTTTCCCATCGGATGTCAAAACCACGAGGGTCGGGGACGGATAAGTTGGGATCACGCAGGCTCCGAGCGGAGGGTCCTCTGGGGAAGTTTCGGTCGTCCGGGTGCAAACCACTTGTTCCGCTATCGAGTGACTGGAAGCATCCTTGTCCACAACGCTAGCGTCCAAATCCGCTGCAACAATGGTATTCGAATCTCGAGAAAAAGGTCGCAGGCGGACCGCGAGGTAGGTTCTTCAAGCGGTGCGAATAAAGTGAGATTCCGGGAATGAATTCTCCTCCAATCCTACCTGAATGACCAACGTATCCCTCTAGTATTTCGTTCAGGGGGACAGCGACTACATGAACGCCGGAATCGTGGATACAGAAGTATCTGTATAGAACCGATTCGTCCTTCTCGAGAATCATTGGGCAGCGGTAACCGTCGACATTGTCGTCCAAGGTGAGGCTCAGGGTTATCTTCAATCGGGGAGTAAGAAGTAATTTACGCTCGAATCCAAGAGCTCTCCGTGTGGCCCGGCTCTCTAACAATGAACAAGATGTTGATCCACTTTGAAACTGACCTTTTCTGCCACATGGAGGGTGGGCTGCTCTTCATCATCTTCGTTGAATAATACGATGCAATGGTACAGCGTACCGGCCGTGCCCGCAACCACGAGCATCACCACTTGACCGAGTAAAAAGGTTAACAGAGAATATCCGTCGCATCCGAAAGTGTCATCGATGTTCGGCCGCATCAGCAACGAGTCCGAAACACACGCTTTGCTGAAAACCATGGCGAGTTTTCAATGTTGTTCTCCGGATGCCGCGAAAGATAGGAGCTTTGCTTTCGAGTTTCGAAAAATCCATGGGATTTTCAGCTCTCGTGGGAGAACTCACTCTTTGGTGAAGTTTGTGATCCGGTAGACGCTCCCCGCTGTCGATAGACAAAAAACTTCGTCTGGAGATCTTCCGAAGTCGAAGTCTATTATCTGTCCGCCTGTGACTGCCGAAATCATGAAGTTGATTTTCGTCAACGAGGACGGCCTTTCCAGCAGGTGAACCTGGGAAAGGATGCTGTTTATCTGACAGCATGGTGTCCGAGAGAATCTCTCGAGCAGTTTTTCGCAGCATCCCTAGTCACTTCGTTACGAACTTACTGCTTTCAGAGCGTGGGTGACCCTCGACGTTATATCGAAGAGTCGAAGACAATTATCGTTGGTGAGCAGCACAACCTCGTTGACGGAATCGGGCAGCCACTTCGCAGCCAGCACCTCGAGACCGGCAATCTGGATGAGGATTATCTCACCAATTGGAAATGTCTTGCACTTGGTCGAGGAGTTTTTCGTCATCGCGATCTCATCCGGGAGAACCACAACCGCTGCTCCTCCAGGCCCCCAGAGGAGTAGGGCACCACTGCGCGAGCTTTCGATCTGTTCCACATTGAAAGCGAGTTTTCGTGAAGGAACGAATTCCTAAAACAAGAGCGTTCCCGGTCAGTAAATGCGGAAGCACAATTTTCGGAAGCTACGTTTGTCGATTTTCTTCGCGCGCGATTTCTCGGTGCTGCATCTGATTGGGAATCTCGACAGCATCGACGAATGCCTCCTCCGGATGCGCGGAGACAACCTCCCTCCCAGCGGTAAGGCATCGGATAGACTCCGGAACGGCAACGTCTATATTTATTTTCTGAGTGCGGGACGTACGTAAGAGTGGTCCTCGGTACAGTTGACGTCGACCGCATGCAGGCTCCCCGTGCCAGGGTTCCACGCGAGGAAGAGATTCTTGCAGTGAGCCACCAACTGCCTCGGATTAGAAGCCTTGCTCTGTGACTTGATGTTACTCAGGAATTTTGACTTCGGACTGCGCCAATCGACTTGAAGGGTCGCCATGGCAGTGTGCCTTTTGAAGCCAGCAGGCTCCGGAGGAGTGACTGATCGAGATCTCCGTCCCGCACGGAGCGATTCACAGGGAAATTCCAAGGCAAAATCTTAAGATCCAGCATTCGCTCAGCGATGTGCCGCGGATTTTCTCTCCGGCTGCTCATTCAATGTTTACATACACAGTCCTGCGGGTTTGTCGCCGCTCGCCGCCGGTGGCTACAGAGTGCGCGCTGATTCGGCGGCAACAGTCCCGAAACCGTGAACTCTGAACGTTTGTCTGCACGGTTGGGACATTGTATGATCTCGATCCCGAGTAGTCGAGAATATGGGGATCCTGTGCGAGAAAGGGACGGGCCGATGTTCTTCGAAGTAAGGGGTCCATGGATATATAGGGGGGCGATGGAGAAATCGATGCTGATGATCTTTGTCGCCGGCTTGAGCCCGCCCGGGCTGCCCGGGCTGCCCGTCCGTTTACCATTCACGACTTCACGTCGGTCCCGGGAGCCAATAACCCGAGAATACCTCAGTCTAGCGCGTCTTATCAGGGTACCTTCACCGTGATCAGGGAATTCCTATCAGAGGCTCTAATCAGGATTCTTGATCTACTTTTTTGATTCTCCTGTTGGAACATCGGAGTCGCTCTCAAGCTTCACATTTCAAAAACAACTCAAAAGGGGGAAGAATATGATGATTGGCTATAAGTACCGAGCTGGAACCCTGATCGGAATCTACTGACTGATTCGATGAGCCGGAGCATCACTTCTTCGCGGGCGTACAAAGGAAGAAACTCACGAGGGATCAAACGATTCTCGATCGTGCATTGCTCCCTCCTCACCCGATTTTCGAAACATTCCACAGCCCCGTGATGGAATTCCGTTAAGGCTGGGAATGAGTTTCCCAGCATCCCCAAGTCCCCACGGATCCGTGGAAATCGGGATGGAGGGCGAAAAAATAAAATTACTCCCCGTCGGGGAATCGAACCCCGGTCTCCCGCGTGACAGGCGGGGATACTTACCACTATACTAACGAGGACTACGACTACGGAGGCAGTCAATATCGGTCAGTTTGAGTGGACTTCGCTGGACTTGTCGCTCAGATGAGCGCTCCCGTGCTCTAGCATGAGCATGATTCTCTGTGGGACGGGCGGAAAGAGCATGAGGACATTGAGGCGGATCCTTAGGGAACGATCTTCGAACGGATGGACTTGCGCGACTCCAAAGAAAGGCTCCTTGCTCTGCGCGCAACCTTTTTTAGACTTGGTTATGATAACTTATGACGACTCACAAGTTATGACCTGGTTCAGCGAAGCCCTAGAGATGAGCCGACTCCACAAAAAATTGTCATCTCCAGAGGAGTAATCACGGCTCGATGAAGGTCGCGCTCCGACTCTTCGACCGTGCCGTGAAGGACATCGAGTCAAGTTCATCAAATTAAACTCTCATATGAATGATGGCATTCTATGGGTATTGAGCAAATTCCACCCCCGCCATGGTTGCGTCTGTTCTGGGAAAAAAGAGCAGGCAGGCAGGTCGACGGTCCGTCCGGGCGATCGACCTGTCGGTCTGTCCGAGCGGTCGGCAGCCGAGCCGAAGTTGTAGTTTGGACATTCCGACGTCATGTCGTGGGGTCCGGCACTCCCCCCGACGAAACGAACCGAAGTCTGTAGCTCTCTAACCCCTGATCTTCGACAGGTGACCTCACGACTTCGTGACCGAGACATCCGCGTGCTGAACTGTTTTGGATCGACGCCACTCCCCGAAGACATTGACGGCGACGACGACGATGAAACGAAGACGACGACGACGTCGTCGTCCACAACGAGCGCTCGCATGAGCACTCCGAACAAGCTCCGAGCATTGCTGCTGTTCCTTATTGGACAAAGTGAGGGCGGACCGAACATGTACGGTCCTTCAAGGAGTGCCTAGGTCGCGAGGTCGGGCCAATCCTATTTTATTCGATTGTTGGCTGCGGTAAAATCGGCGGACAACACGGTCGCCGGGAGTGCGCGGCTCTGGCCAACAACGAATCTACAACGCTGAATGCGGCCCGATGGTCCGGTTCACTTGCTACCCAAGAGGAGGCCCACTGACCTTCGGGTCGTGAAGTGCCTCAGAACGCAATTAAAGTTGACAATATCCTGGATGGAAAGTCTGCAGATTTCCTCGCCAGTTCAGTCTCGGCCGAGCCTCGTAAGCCTCCATTAGACTCTGGAGCATTTCCCGATTACGAAACTCGTGTGAATTTCTAGCTGACGCGGCGAGTCGGGGGCCGAGTCGCCTTGGGTTCTTTATCAAAATTAGTACAAAAGTAAAAGTGTGATTAGTCGGGCAGTTGAGTGAGTTCTCAGAAGGAGGAGGAGAAGACTCTCAAACTCTCGGGGTCACGGCAGACATGACGGAGACACGAGGACGCTGAAATGAATTTGATTGGAATTCCTCAGTGAGTTTTTCGAGGGGGCGTTCACGTTTGACAGATAGACAAAAACAACAACGAGACAAAACCCACCACCTGAGCGCAGCAAATGAAGCGCATGCCGAGCCGAATACCGTAAGCGGCGACCGTGAGGCATTCGCAACCTGCGAGGCTGGTCCGTTCAGATAAGATCCATAGCTATGTATGTATAGGGGCTGGACTGATTTGACAGAAATGCGGACAGAAGAAACAATAAAGGCTCAGCAAGTTGCTGTGGGACATTCCTCGACATACCGACGGAGACCCGCCGCTCCGAACCTCTGAGATACCTTGACTATCCACGGTACCAATTGGAAAAAAATCATGATCGACTCATTCGAAAAAAGGTGCGAATGGATGGCTCGATGCAGAATGGAGCCCTCCCGTTATTCCGAGGTACAACGTATCCTCCTCGGTTCCGTTCGGGGGCCCATAGACCCTTCCGAGCCGACCGTTCATTTTTCGCGGATTTCGAGAACGAGATGGAAAACCCTCCCGGATCAGGGCTCATCTCCCATCGACACTCCTGACCCGCTCGGTTTGATACGAAATCATTCTTCATTGACGCATGCATAGCCGAAGCCGGCGATCGCTTCCTCCCGAGTGGACGGCATCGCTGCTTTTTTGATTGTTCCGCCGAAGGAGTAGAGTAGAGGTCAAGTGGACCTGCCCGGACTTCTGCCGAACTGCTAAAGTATCATAGTTCGAGGGAAAAGAGATACTCGTTGATTGCACAGGCATTCAGCTGACCTCAATCGTTTGCTTAACCACTACGTCGAAAGCGGTTAACTCGAGCTGGAATGCTCGCCGCAAAATCGAGGCGTGACTCCCACACTCCTGGGGGTTAAAGGGTGGCATTCGTTAAGGTGTGTTAGGCATGCCGATGGGAAATTCCTTACGACCACGGATTCAGCTGGACTCCGAGTAGCCATAGCGCCTGATTCGGTTGCTATAATTTCCCTCTATTTTCACTGTGGCACTGTGGCTGTTAATTTCGAAGTAACAGCAAATCCATCACGGAGACACCCCACCAAGAATGACGACCGCGAGAGCGTCGCACAGATCAATCGTGCGCCACTTCGTAGATTGAGTCATGCTCAAGGGGCCAGACGACGAGCAGCGGAGTCTTTCGCCAGAACCGGGGACTAGGGCACTACGATTGTATAATACTACTCCGGTAATTCCTCAGCAGAATCGTTGGGCCTATTCGGAGGGAGCGGGAGAAAATCTCCCTGGGCTAATCCCTTCGACGAGATACCAATGGATTCGATCGTGAATGAAGGCGTCTCCGTCGACCAGCGAGGGCTCAATCCACCGACTGCATCGGTTCCCTCAAAATGTTTTGGGAGAAGGTGAAGTCGTAACGAAAAAACTGAGCGCGGTCAAGCGATATGCATGGACTCGCCGTAAGGCATTCCGATGCGGTAATGATTACGATGACGACGCTCCTAACTGGCTTGGATATAAGGTAACGCCTCTCGCGGAATCCCCACCCAGAACCGCCCTGTTTAGGCCACAGGGACCTTTACCCTTTGGCAGTCGCTGCTAGACACCACATCTGCGGTCGGAGCTCACGATTCCTTTCAGGATCTTCGTCTCAGCCAGTGAGCGTGGATTCCACGAAAAGCGCTCGGGTCATCGAGGATCCAGGACCCGCTCTGACCCTTACGTAGAACATATTACGGACAGGCATTCACACTGTGGTTAAGAATGGCGAGCGGTCGACAACCGCGCCATTAGTGGTTTGAACCTGAACAAATCTTGAAACAGCGGACTTTCCTCTCGGGAATCGATTTTCCGCGCAACGCTCGCACCCTGAGCGACCCGGATACCATCATGGCACATGCGATAGCACAAAATTAGAAAAGTTTTGCGAATTTTCTAAATATTCGTCTCGACAGTGATATGTTCTCCCACGTGAAATAATCTCATCTGTCAGAGTTCAACATTTTCATAGGCATCGTTGAGGCAGAACCCTCTACTATGAGCACCTGTCGATTATTCAGTGGACAACGGTGCGCTTGGGAATGGAGCATACGGCGTTCTTCATCCCGTTACACCGCCTCCATCGGAGTAGCGACTTCCTAAACGGATTTAAAAATACGTTGCTCGATCCACCGACACCTGTGTAAGTATGTATTTTCGCCCAACGGACGAGAAGCTCGACATCCCACGCAATGAGCGTACACTTGGTGCCATTGGCTACTTGACTGTCATCCTGGCCGACCAGTCGACCGAACGAGCGACCGACCGACTTGCCTCTCAGTCAGAGAGACGGAACATACAGACTGACGAGCCCATACGTACTGCACGCATATTCAAGCGCTCGGATACGGGAATTGAAAGCGCATGTCGAGTCATTCAGGCACGCATCATCGAGCCCGTGTACGCCAACGTCGGGGTTTTCTCAGAGATCGGGGGGTAATTGTGTCATTCGAGTGACGTCGATGATAGTTTGAAGCACAGAAAATATAGACTGCTGTCCGAAAATCACAAATATTCCAACGATATGGTTCATCCACCTTGCATCCAAGGGGTCGCGATCCAATAGAAAGATT